CCATGTCATAGCATGTGTCAGAATTTATTTTCTTATTAAAGATGACTAATACTGTATTATTTGTCATATACTGTATTTTGTTTATCCATCCATTTGTCCATTGATGAACACTGGGTTTCTTCCACCCACCTTTGGCTTTTGTGAATCAATGGTGCTATGAACAGGGGTATGCAAATATCTCTTTATGCCCCTACTTTCAATTATTCTGGGTATAAACCCAAAAGTGAAATTTCTGGATCATATGGTAATTCTATTTTTAATTTTTGAGGAACTGCCATTCTGTTTTCCATAGCAGCTGCACCATTTTACATTCCCATCAGCAGTGCACGAGAATTTTGCCTCACATTTTACACAAAAATGACATAAAAATCAATTTGACATGTATTTTAGACCTATTTTTAAACGGTAAAACAACGAAGCTTTTAGAAGAAACCGTAGGCCAATAACTCACGATTTTAAGATATAAGTATAACCTTCAGATGCTGTTTAGGTGGCAAAGTTTTAATATTTATTGATGGCTTTAGGATGTGATACAGGGATTACAAGGAATAGAATTCCACCCCTCAAAGTGTTTTGATTACCTTGCACAATGTCTTGTATCTTATGTTGAACGTAAGTGCCTTTCAATAGACATGCATGCTCCAGTTGCTCTAATCTTCATCCCTCCCTAAGGATTTTTGCCAGACCGATACTTTCTCTTCATTTACCTGCCTGGATGCTGAAACATCTAAGTTTATGATCCCTCGTCTATAGTATTATTGTGCCCAAATATTACTGATATATGTTTTGATTAGAAACTCACTGCATAAGCATGTCATCAAAGAACATTTATGGCTGTTGTCATAGTACATATTTGTTTTATTGGCCTGACAACAATGACTCTTATAATGAGGAAAATGTTGAAAACCCCTCACAGTAAAGAAGTCCCTAAGTACATAATAAAAGGCAAGGTAGCGGCTTTAAACTTGCGCCGGTAACATAGGGCAGCTTCCATATTACTTTGTCTCTCCATGTATTTGTGTGCCACGCATGCGCATCAGGCCAACAAGAACCGCCTCCCAGCAGAGTGTGGTTTTGGGAGAGAGGACCCAAGATAAGACTACAGGAGCTCAAAATCTTATAATTACCAAAGGGCATGAGGTAGGGCAGGGAGCTTTCCGAGTTCTTGGTTTGCATCACAACCCTCTCTACATGAACACGATCCAACCCAGAAAAGGCAAACAGAAGAACAAACAGTATTGTTTTTCCCTGGCAGCTTATGTGGACACCATTAGCAATAAACACATATGAAGTCGATGCAGTGGGACTAACAGGATTGCATAAAAGGAAAACATTTCCAAATGAAAGACACAAAATCAGGGGCATGATTGGTAGAGACCCAGGGAGTAATTACCTGGCAGGTAATTTGGTGTGGCTGGAACACAGGGTACGCAGAAAGGGACTAGGATGAGATAAGTCCACCAAGAATCTTATCATTGAAAAGCCAGTTTAAAATGGAAGCACACACTCTCAGTGCCCTTCCCAATGTGACCTTCTAGGAGTGAAACATTTGGATTTTCCTATGCTGGTTATTTATAACATAGAAACTTCTTAATCACTGTCCTCATCCAACATAGTCTCATCTTGGTACATGGTTTAATGTTATAATTATGCTTCAACTCAAAACATCTCTGTTTGGCAGTCAGAGCTGGTTCAGAAGAAGCCTTGGATTAAGAAACAATATGGTAGAAACTCCACATGTCTAACAAGTAAATTAAATCTAAAGGTGAATATATATATTTTTTATAAATATATATATATAAATATTTATATAAATATATAATTTATATTTTATATATTTTATATATTTATAATATATAATTTTTTAATATATTATAAATATATAAAATATATTTATAAATATATTTTTAATATATTTATAAATATATATAAATTTATAAATATATATATAAATATATATAAAGAAAAGCCAGTTAATATACCAAATGGACGGAACTGTCTCTTACCTTTACACTAATCAGTAGTAAACTGGTTTAACCAAAATTTATTAGACACAAGAAGAGTCTCATAATGCATCATCATGTTTAACAAACATATAGTAGAGGTACATATAGTACCTCTATGAGCTTGATAAGATATTTGAAACTTTCCGATAATTTTTTTCTAGACTCAAAATGCCCACAAAAGTGGTGTTACAGCCATTACACAAATTAAGAGAGTGAAGAAGGTTTTCCAGCTGGCTTCCCGACCTCCTTCGCACCACTGCCTCCCTCACGCTGACACACCCATCATCTATGCTGCTGCTTTTCAGTTCGCCTTCCCTGCTAAATTACATTCACTGGCTCACTATTGTCTACAACATGAAGTCCGAGATATTGTGCATGTTCAAGATCTGTTCTTCCTTCCCTCCCCAACCCCAGAACTTTAACTACCTTTCTGGATTTATCTCATATTGATCTTCTTCATAGATTAGACACTTAAACCAAAGCTGTTCTATGCACTGCACTTTTCCTGGGGCTTCCTCTGTCCAGACTCCTGCTCAACCCTTCTCCTGCCAAAATTTTTTCTTACTTTTAAAGCCCAATTCTATCTTCTTTATGAAGTTGTCTGGTTTCTAAATGCCTGTAGCACTTTATTAGGAGTCAAAATTAATAGCCAGTATAAGGGAAGTCACCTGAGCCTACAGGGAATGCAGACTGCTCAGGCTCTGTCTGCCAAGTCGTGGAGCCTCCCTGACCGCACAATTGCATAACCTTCCTGCTGGAGGAAAAGAGGACCTGTGATGAAGAGGTTACTGCAGAGGCTCCTGGGAACAGAAAGTGGGAAATCGAGAGGAAAGCATGAGGTCTCTCCCAGCCTGGCCGCAGCATCTACGGAGTCTGGACTCTATGGAGAAAGGAGATACTGGGCAAATGCTAATGGAGCAGTTTTCACAAGAGAATCTTTAGAGACACAGGGGTGCAAACAATCTTGAATTTCTTTCCCTACGGCAGAGTGTAATGGAAAGATAGAGAGAGTGAGCCCCTTTTCCTTGCTTACCACCAAACACCCCTCAGCTTGGCATCTCATATGCTCCAAGAGCCCAGCTGCAGTGGGAGCCTGCAGAGCCCAACAGAGCTGCAGGGAGCCACGTGGGAATGGACTTGCTTGTGAGCTTATATGAATTCACAGAATCCGGGCCAGGCGTGGTCTGTAGCTGTAGTCCCAGCTACTTGGGAGGCTCTTGCAGGAGGATTGCTTGAGCTCAGGAGCTCAATACCAGCTTGAACAACATAGTGAGACCTCATCTCTTTAAAAAAAAAAATTCCTAGGATTTTGGAAAATCCCCCAGAAATATCTAAAGGACATTGTTGGTGGCCAAGACCCTGTGAAAATATCCTGGGGAAAAAGCTTGTAGAATTTGGATTATTACTGTTGATTATATTTTATTTACGTACATGGACAGGTAAGTCCTAGAAATACTTGGGTTAATGCTGGCATTCATTTATGACTTGATATGGTTCAAAACTTATCTCCATTATGTATCTGATTTGATCACCATAACAACCATTCGAGGTGGCTATGGTTATATCCAGATTTTCCCCCATAGCAATGGATTTGAGCATAGTGTTTATTGTGGAAAGAGTCCAGGACTTGTCAGCAGACCTAAATTTGAGCCTTTACTCTTCTGCATATGGCTGGGTGATCCTGGATAAATCTCAACCTCTCTGAGCTTTAATTCCTTACCGGTAGGACAGGAATAACAATTCCTTTTGTATAGAGATACTGTGAAATTCTGAGATGATGAAAAAATCCTGTACGATTGTAAGAAATTATTATGGCACATGACTTTACACCATTGCGTTCATCTTCTACCATAAATCAGTTTTTTCTATATATCTCAATACAATAAAAATAATGAACAGAGCAACCATGCCTTAATCATCTCTGTGTCAGCTTATCTTGCACACAGTAGGTACTCAGCACGATGGTATGAAACGCTGCAGGTGATGAACTTCCCATCTATAGCATAAGCCTGGTATAGAGGAGGTGAACTTCGGAATGCCTGGAACTAGATGTCAGTCTTGAAAGCCTAAGATTATTTATTACATTAACCAGATATATAAGAGATTCAGATATAAGAGGTCAAGTCAGTTTCCCAGGAACATAACGCAAGTATAAGAGAGACAGAACATTACCTTTAAAGGACAGCAGGGGCTGGGAAGCGTTTTCTGTAAAGGGTCGGATAGTAAACATTTTAGGCAATGTAGGTCAGATGGTCTCTGTGGCAATTACACAACGTTGCCGTTTTATTGTGAAAGCAGCCACAGATAGTATGTAAGCAAATGGGAGTGACCATATTCCAATATATTATATTTTAAAAAACAAACGGATGGTGGGCTGCGTTTGGCCCATAGGCCCTGGTTGGCCAACTCCTGAGACAGAGGCTTGTCCTTTTGCCAAGGAGGATTTATAACACAAAAAGCCGAAAGTAAAACCAGGTGGTGGCATGAAATGGAAAAGCTGAAATCAATGAGTAAAAGTAAAACTCTCGACTAAGTTTCAAAAACCAAAAGTGAAAAGTATGTAATTGGAGAGAGAAGAGATTTCACATAAAATGTCTGCTGAACTGGATCAGGGCAAATTTTATTCTGTAAGTTTGAAAGGAAGAAAATACTGTGTTGGTGTTTGCTTTAGTTTTGGAGGGTTTTAGTTGCCTAGGGGACAAACAGTGCCATGTAACTGCTTGGACAATCGAAGGTGCTCTAAGTCCCATTAATGAAAGCAGAGTATCTAGGACAAACAAGGCGATCGTCCCAGGGGGACGGGGCTGTGTCTGAGTCACCACAGGACCCCTTGCTCCTACCACAGGGCCTGACATGCAGCAGATGCCCGCTGGGAACTCCTACTTCCCATGCCCTGCTCTGGCCAGAACAGTTTCATATTTGAGGGTCTCTGTTCCCTGGAAAAAAACGGGGTTTGTTTGCCTGGCAGGTAACAAACAACTCTTCACAAGAACATGGGCTTTGATCAATAGAAGTTTTTTTACTTGTCACAAGCAAGGAGAGCACTGAGAATATTCTCCAAAGTGGTGTCTCTGAAGGAAAGTGACAGGAGGGTTTTATGGGGTGATGGAGAGGGGAGAGAGTGCATATAGGGGAGGGGTCCCAGTGGCGCAGCTGCAGAGAGTTGGCATGGCAGCACACAGCTCACATGTCCCGGTCATGAAGCCATAGCTCCTCCCGGGGTAGGTACTTCAACATGGTAATGAGGAAAGTTCACTCGGGCTCATCTAGAAGTTGCCGGGGGTCTGTCAGGAGCTGGTTCCAGCTGACGAGGTCACTGCATTCCACACGGGACTTGGGAAGAAACAGGCAGCAGGGCAGGAAGCTGTAAAACAGGCTGATTGCTCAAGTGGGTTAAATGTCTACCGTCCCAGGAGACCGTCCCTGTCTGCCCCTCTGTGCTAGATTCAAAGGGGAAGAGGCATTTGAGCTAAAAGCTGAAGGAGGTGTCCAGGTGGGGAGAGAGGAGGGTGGGGCAAGAGCGCTCCTGCGGGGGCTGCGGCAGAATCCATCCAAGATTCTCTGCCCAGCCTCGCTTCTGCTTTCTCTCCATTTGAATTAAAATACAGGTTTGTAAAAAATAGGGGCAGGGGTCATTTCTAAGAAGCCTTCATTTCAGCTTTGTTGCTTGGAAAAATATGCTCCCTTACCTGGGTGACAAGAAACAAACGTGTTGACACGTTGAGGAAGCATTTCCAGTATTTTAAATCAGGCTATGAAGGGACACGAGTTTAAGGAATCTGTAGGTCCATGGTAGGAGTGCTCATAGCCACCAATAATCCCCTTGTGAAGGAACTAATTAGGTTTGGAAAGGACTTGTGTGCCTGATCAAATAATTAAAACTAAATTGCTCTCCTTGGACATGCAAATTAACGAGCGTTAAAGCAACTCAGTTGGTCACGTAGATAATAAATAGATGTGCTTTCTCAAGTCTGTTAGGTGGCACTGATTGATTTCCAATTCTGGCTACAACAGGGCCTGAGCAGCTTTTGAAACAAAGATGAGGGGACTGCAGGCCCAGTGGGGACAGCTGTTGAAAGATTTAACCCATTACACCCCACCCTTACAACCCACCCCACATCCTGCGTTTTGTGACTGAGAATAAGAGACGCTAGGGAACCAGACTTGACCTACTGCCGCCCCTCAAGCTCAGCCCTGCAGGAGTATGGGGGAACCGCGGCACTGTCAACCCGCTCCCCCAGATGCCACCTTCCCTACTTCCCAGTGCTATCAGGTCCAAGAAAATGAGGCCCTGGCTGAGCACCAGGAGCCAGATGGACCTTCTGGTGGGGTTTGGAGGCGTGGGGGAAAGCAGGTACAGGAGGCCTTGGGGGGCTGACTGGAGCACTGTTCCATGAGTTTTTAAAAGTTTTTCCTTAGCAATTACTTGATAAAAAGTCTTACTGAATAATAAACAAACAAAAAAAAAAAAACCCCAGACTCAGGTTACAAGTGTTTTATCATTTTGTCAAGGAACCTATATTAGTGAAGCACCTGTTACGCAGAGCTCACTCTCAAGTGGGCCTTTGTAGGTAGGCTTAGAGAAGAAAATTGGATTTCTGCCTTGAAGGAAGTTACATTCTTGGTGGGGAGGCAAATTGTAGGTAAACAAAGAGCATGTTTCCAATTCCTTTTGCCTCGCTGGCCTCAGGCCCTTGCCTACACCTCTCATCTGGAGGAAAATGATGACTTAGAGTCAGTGTGACCAGTGACATAAGAGAGGAGAGAGCAGCCCCACCAGGGAGTTGCTGCAGCCCTCCAGAGTCCGTGTGAGGGAGCCTCTTATCTCCTTGCAGCCCAGGGACCTGAACCTTCAAGAGATGTAGGGTAATGACACTAGCTAGTTCCGGGGGCGATGCAAGAAGCGGATGAGGTAAGATGCAAAGGAACACTTAACAGTGCCTGGAACCAGTAAGCACTCAGGGAATGCTCCCTCTGATTCCTAGGTCACGTGCCCACGACCACAGACATAGTTATGGACAGAACCAGGATTCAGTCACACCCTGGTCAACCCAATTCAAAAACCCCCACCTTTCCTTCCTGGCTGCAGGTGCCTCTCGGGATTCAGTTCCCTTCATCTTCCTCCTCGTCTTCCCTCTGGTTTGTGGTCACACCTCCAGCCTCGTTCAAGTCCACCCAGAGAGCCTTTTCTTTCCGTGTGTTGGAACGCAGCGTTGACAACTTCCTGGCCTTCCAGTATAAGCAGAGGAGGGAGCTGAGCAGCAGCAGGAGCAGGACGAAGGGGCAGATGAACAGGAAATAGAGTAAAGGGGCCGACGAGCAGATCCTGGAAGGAAGCGTGGGCTCTGCAACGAAGGGAGAGACAGAGTAATTCGTCTCCAACTTATTTGTGCTAATCAATTGCAAACACTCCTGGGATTCATTGTTACAGGCAAGTATATGTGAAAATAATGGGGCCAAATAGCAGTGGGCCCCCGAAATCACAAGAAGCACAGGGCAGAGCGCTAGGGGAAGAGAGCTCCTAGACTGCTCTCTTCTAACGCCACGCCGCCTTGCCCGGCAATTTCCAACCACTGGAGGTTCCAATGACCTACTTAAAACTAACAGCCAAAATGAAAAACAAAACAAAAAAGAAAACCTCGCCTTTAATCTTCTTTCCTCAGAAAAGATATCTATAATTCAGCCCTCGTTCTCAACTGTGTTGCCAGGCCTGAATTTTTAACTTGAGTTATTCCCACTGCTGCTTCTCCAACACACAGGCACACACACACGCGCGCACACACACACACACACACCCTCCCCTCTCTCTCTCTCTCTGCTCTGCACTCTGCACCGTCCTTATAAAACAATTGCACCCACAATGAGGCGCCCCTTCCCCACCCCCCCAAGCCTGACCATCTACGTGGGTCTCCCCCTTCCGCGGCCCCATCCCTCCCGCTGCTTTCCTGTGTTGCGCTGGCTGTGGCCACCCCCCGACATGCTCCCTGCATTTGAGCTTCTGGGTCCTTCCGGCCTAGCTCCACCACGCTTCCTACTCTATCAGCTCTTCCTACCTTGCCCCCGGTACAGTTCTTCTCTTCCATCCCCTTCGCGCTCAGCCCTTTGTTTACACCTCTTTAATTCCCTGTTACCCGTCTCCTTTGTTCATTACAGTTCCTTGAGTACGTCTGCTATCGCCATTTGTTTCTGCATCCCCTACAGTGCCTAGCACATGTGCTCAGTAACTTTTGCTGATCTGAATTAAATTGGACTGACTGCAACCACGTGGGCAAAAGATACTATATAAAGGCATGCTGAAGCATATGATCATCCCGCAGCTGCAGTCCACCGGGAAGCACTATCAGCAGACACACACACGGAGCACGCACAAGCAGTCCCAGACTGGTTCCTGGCCACACAGCCAGGGAAGCCAAGGCCCAGAGGACTGCAAACACCACAGGTTTCAGGACGCAGTCTACTGAGGCAGAAAGACACGTGCTTAAAGAGGCCAATTACTAAATGTAATCTTCCAATTACATTTATTTATGACATGATATCTGAAATCAGGGCTGTTCTGAAATGTTCAATGCTAACAGTAGCTGTGCTTTTACTGGAAAATTGTTATGACATAAGCAATTTCTTCTTCAAAGGCTAAGCTATAGGAGGCATGCTTAGAGATGAAAAGAGGTTTAGAGGTCATTTTGACCAACCTCCTGCTGCAAGAATTCCATTTTTGGCATTGCTGATGAATCCCACATGTTAAAGAACATCTCTTTGATGGAAGTCAAGAAAGAATCTAGACATTCGCTCACCTCCTGCACTGTGAGCTCCTTGAGGGTGGGGTCTGTGTCTTGTGTGTCTTTTTATCTTCCTCAACTGTTTGCTCACAGGGTGTCAATGGAGCCTGATGAATGAATCAATTGCATGAGTACATTCCACACATGGGAACCCAGGGATGGCTGCCACGATGCTACACAAAGTACAAATCATCAGTGAACATGAGGCTGGCAGCTCTGAATGGGGCTGGCAAAGAGCTGCAGAGGTTCATGTCCTGGATTTTCTCTGATCTCATTTGTATCCTTCCTCCTAAATTTGGTTTTGGTTTTGGCTTTTGAAACGGTGAGCAATGATAAAGGTAGATTTTGAATTCTTCACCATCCCCCGCGCTGCTCCACATCCTATCTGACCCCTCTTCCAATGGCCCTGCTTGACCACAGCTTTTCTTCCCAGGTCTTATCTGAGTGCATTTGAAGGCCCGTGGCTGGAAGGAAGCATAGACTGCAATGATGCAAGTGAATGGAGCCATGGAGTCCAGGTATTAAGAGCAGTGGCCGGCCGGGCGCGGTGGCTCAAGCCTGTAATCCCAGCACTTTGGGAGGCCAAGGCGGGTGGATCACGAAGTCAAGAGATCGAGACCATCCTGGTCAACATGGTGAAACCCCATCTCTACTAAAGATACAAAAATTAGCTGGGCATGGTGGCGTGTGCCTGTAATCCCAGCTACTCAGGAGGCTGAGGCAGGAGAACTGCCTGAACCCAGGAGGCGGAGGTTGCAGTGAGCCGAGATCGCGCCATTGTACTCCAGCCTGGGTAACAAGAGCGAAACTCCATCTCAAAAAACAAACAAACAAAAAAAAGATCACTGGCTGTGGACATTTGTGCAGAGTAGTGAATGAGTACCTACTGTGTGTCAAAGAGAGCTGAGTTCAAATCCTCAATCTTCAATGTGCTGTTTGTTATTAACAGTGGAGAAGTTACTTATCCTCTCTCTAATCATTAGTTTCCTCATCAACCAAATAGGGATAACAATTTCTAGAGTTGGGATGAGATAATGTATAATAAAGCATCTAATGAAGTGCCTAAAGCATTTGTGGAGTCAGCAAGCAATAAATATTAGCTAGGATGCTACTGAGAAAGCTAACAAAATTGCAGGAAAACTTCTCCCAAGAGAACCGACAGAGAGCAGGGCCGGAGCCTACAGGCCCCTTGCATAGGGACCCCAGGCTTGGCCATCTTCCTCCACAGGCTAAATCTCTCCCTTAGATCTCTGGTCCCTCTGTCCTTAGAGCTTGCTGACATCCAGCAGAGACTGAAATGATCACTTTGGAGGCTCTGGCTTCCTTTTCTAGTCATGGGAGGCATATAATTGAGTCCGCAGCCCCAGGTATTATAGTTGCTAGAATGGTGGGGTAATGATGGTGAGGTGACGCCACACCGGAGATGGAAAGAAATCTGCTGCTCGGCTTTTCAGCATAAAGGGGCACCCAGAGGGCTTGGCTATCTTAGTGGGGAGGAGGCCGCTCAGCTTAGCACAGTCTGCCATCAAAGGATACCAAGGTGTGCTTCTCACCATGCTGGCGTGGCCAGCAGTTAGCAACTGTCAGCTCCGGGGCTGCTAAATCACCTCTCCTGGAGGGCAGTGTTTGCTCTGGATCTTACAGTCACCATTTCCTACCATCTGCCTCTCACTCATATCTGGATTAGAATTAGTGACATTCAAACCATCAAGGTTTGGCATTTTGGATCAATCTGAGTAAGTGCCCAACGCTCAAAGTACAAGGCCTTCAAAACAAAGCCCGAAATGTAACGAGAGCACTTCATCATGAGGCTTAGTTTAGAACATGTTTCCACCCACAACCAAGCACAGCAAAAGGAGCACTCCTTTTTCATACTTCCTGAGAGACACTGACTTCAGAAGAAAAGAGGTGTGAGATAAAGAGGGGGCTGCCAACTCTTCCCCACTACCCAACCCCAAACATGCAGCCATGTGGGAGAGTTGGCTCTTGCCAAGAAACAAAAGTAGGGTAAGGTAACCTGGTAACAAGTGCATCCCAGAATAAGTGAATCACTGACAGCATCCTGTTCCAGCCCAGCTAAGACTTGCCTGCTCATCCTTTCACCAAGCGTTTGTTGAATGCCAGATGCCAGGCCTTGCTGGAGGCACTGGGAAGCACAGGTTGGGATCTTGGCCTCTCCAGAAACTTCAGTGTGGTAGAGACACACAGCTCCTTCAAGGATCTAGTTCTTTTCCTTCCCTTCCCTCTCTTTCTTTTCTCTTCTTTCTTTCTTTCTCTTTCTCTCTCTCTTTCTCTCTGTCTCTTTTTTTTTTTTTTTTGGAGACAGAGTCTTGCTCTATCACCAGTCTGGAGTGCAGTGACACGATCCCGGCTCACTGCAACTTCCGTTTTCTGGTTTCAAGCAATTCTTCTGCCTCAGCCTCCTGAGTAGCAGGGACTACAGACACGCACCACCACGCCCAGCTAATTTTTTGTACTTTTAGTAGAGATGGGTTTCACCATGTTGGCCAGGATGGTCTCGATCTCTTGACCTCATGATCCACCTGCCTCGGCCTCCCAAAGTGCTGGGATTACAGGCGTGAGCCACTGCACTGGCCCCTCTCTCTTATTTTTTTGACAGTGTCTTGCTCTGTCATCCAGACTGGAGCGAAGTGGTGTGACCATGGCTTACTGCAGCCTTGGCCTCCAAACTCAAGCAATCCTCTTGTCTCTCAGCCTTTGAGGAGCAAGGACTATAGGTGTGTATCCACCATGTGACTAATTTTTAAATTTTTTGTAGAGACAGGGGTCTCAAACTCATGGGTTCAAGCAATTCTTCCCACCCCCATCTCCCAAAGTGCTGGGATTACAGATGGGAGCCATCACGTCTGGCCCAAGGATCTACTTTCTAAATAGACCCTTTCCCAAATAAAAGCTAGGAAATAGTAACAAGTACCACACTACTACAAATGATCCAGTTCCCAGGGAGCCTTATAGCCTGGCCTGTCAATGAATCACAGACAATTCTCTAGAATAAGACATTTGTGTCTAGGGTCTAAGGGTAAGGTAAAAAGACTGAGGCAGCTGTTGTCCCTGCCATGGCTTAGCCATTGGTAAGGAAATAAGATAGAGATGAAAAGGCAAAGCCTATTTTCTGAGAAAATGTCTCTTAACTTTCCTGCCTTCACTTGAGTCACATGCTCTATAGTCCTATTTTGTGGCCCTAAAACCAGCTCAAGCTGAGATAGCCAGGTAGAGAGCGTGGAAAACCATCTGAGAAGTGATGGTTCTTTTTCATAGGTAGCATATTATATTTGAACTGGATGTTGATAGCACATAGACCTACTACTCAGCAGGAGTGCAATGACATGGTGCTTCAGCAAACATCTGAGCATCTTCTATGTGCCCAGCACTGTGCTAGTGCTGCGAATGAGACACTCGTCATCTTTGCCTGTAGTATAGTATAGTGGTGTGACAGACATTCAACAGGTAACTGCAGGTGTGAGGGCTAAAAGAATAAGGGGAGTCTCGGAGGCAGTTAAGTTGCTGGGTGAAGGATGAGGGTGTTGACCAGGGAAAAATGGCAGGGAGGAGCATTCCAGGAAGGAGATGGTGCATGCATGTGAGATGCTGGACAGTCAGTCATGTCTACTCTTCTGTTAATATATTTCCCTTTCCTTCCTTCCTTCCTTCCTTCCTTCCTTTCTTTCTTTCTTTTCTTTCCCTCCCTCCTTCCTTCCTTCCTTCCTTCCTTCCTTCCTTCCTTCTTTCTTTTTCTTTTTCTTTCTTTCTTTCTGGTTTTCTCACCTCTAAAACATAAATGTGCTCAAGTCTGTACCATCTTCAAACCAAAACAGAAAATAAGCAGACCTGAAACCCTGTCACTGACACCTCTTGCCATTTTATTGTCTTCTTTCTTCCCCTTGACATCAAAGCTCTTGAGAGAGTCATCTGCACTTGATGTGCCCATTCTCCCCTCCTCAACTTGCTGCAGTCTGACTTCCCTGATTACTTTTCTGCAATTGTCCCATAATGGCAAATCCAATGGATATTTTCCCACTGTTACCTTAGTTGACCTCTTTGCAAGAGCCGAGTCTGTCAATTCGCCTCACCCTCTTGATACCCTCTCTGCCTTTAGTGTCGGCGGTACCACCAAATCCTGATTATCTTCCCAGCTCTCCATCACTCCTATCAGCCTCCTTCACAGGCTGTCCACCGCTGAGAAACAGCAGCTCAACCCATTGCACCATTATTGGCTACCAATGGATCACTTCTAATCTACAACTCTAGTGCAGATCCCATTTGCAGGTCTTGATGTCTATTGGACAGATCTTTATCAATAACTCACAGATACTCTGAACTAAATTCCAGCCCAACTTATTTAAAACTGAACTAATCTTCCCCTCCAAACCCCACTCGTGTATTACCTGGCTTGGTGAATGGGCCCACTATCCATCTAAGCTGGAATCCAAATGTTAATCCTTGATTCTCTCTTTCTGCTCATTTGCCCTCTGTATATGTTGAATCAGCCTCTAGATCCTGACATTCACACCTCCTAATACCTAATGCCTGTTCTTTTCTTAGTCATCCTGCCTTATCTCAGGCCTTTACCTTTTCCCAGCTGGGCTCTCACAATTTCATATACTTTCCCCTACAGTGTCGGCCTCCCCTCCAATTCTTTCTTTTTTTTTGAGACGAAGTTTTGCTCTCGTTGTTCAGGCTGGAGTGCAATAGCATGATCTCTGCTCACTGCAACCTCCGGTTCCTGAGTAGCTGGGATTACAGGCATACCCCACCATGCCCGGCTAATTTTTTGTGTTTTTAGTAGAGACAGGGTTTCTCCATGTTGGTCAGGCTGGTCCTGAACTCTTGACCTCAGGTGATCCGCCCGTCTCGGCCTCCCAAAGTGCTGGGATTACAGGCATGAGCCACTGCACCCGGCCTCCAATTCATTTTGATGTGGGAACTTTCTAAAAGGAAAACCTGACCATGCCACTCCCCTGCTTAAACTTTTTCAGTGACACTCCATCACTGTCATGGTAAAGTCCTTCCTTCTTAGCTTCATACTGTACACACATTTGGGATCTGTCTGGACCTTCCCCACCTCCCTGGTCTCATCTCTTGCCATTGTACCATAGAGGCTGCAGCTTCTGCCATTCTCAATGACCAGGAGAGCCCCCAATATAACATGAAATTTTACATCTTATTATCATCTTGCATACTCTTTCATGTTTCCAAAATACGTTTCTTCCTTTTCATGAGCCCCATACCCTGGAGAATCTTCCAGATCTCCTCCCTACCTTCCCTTCACTGCAGCCCTGCCTCTGTTGTTGCCATAGTCTACTGGAAATACTTCTTTGAAAACACCTATGATGTTGAACTGTGGAGTGCAGTTCAAAAGTCCACTCCCACTGGACTCTAAGGTCGTGCGAACACACTCTGTCATACACACTTTTGTGCCTTCAGGACCTCATACGGTTATTTATTAAACAATGCCATTATTTTGTCACATAGATGTATACATGTAGGTATGTGTATACCTGTGTGTATACGTATGTGTGACGTATTTGGAAGCATAAAGGGGAAAGGAGATAACATTTGCTGAGCGCTGGCAATGTGCCAGACACCATACGGGATACTTTATACACATTTATATTATGAGCTTCATTTTATAGAAGGCTGAGGTGCATAGAAAGTAACCAGAGTATGATTTCATAGCTGGTATTGGTGGTAGAGCTGTGATTGGAGCCTAGGCTTGTCTGATTCCAACCCTTGGGATATTTTTTATCACCCCACACTGCCTCCTTGACTACCAGGAAGGAACAGCCAAGTGGAGGAGCCCAGATGCTACATTACAGGGATTTCAATCCTCAACATTCATTACGCCGAAAACCCTCAGCTTGTCATGACGAATGCTTTCTGAAGAATACAAAGGCCACTCAATTTTTAATGTTTTCTTTCCAGGTTTATCTTTTAAAAACCATACACCTGTTTTGCAGGGATCTCACGGAGATTAACAATATGTATGCTACGAAGGATCCCCTCCGCCTCAGAGGAGAATACACTTTTCATCACAGACTATATACTTTTTACAGTTCTTATCTATTTATTCTATTGCAAAAACTGCCGATTCTACAGAGCCTGTGAATTCCAGAGGGAAAACATAAACGGAAGGTGCTCATGAGTACGGGAATTCCTATAATTGTTGGGGGAAAAAAAGGGCTGATAGAAAAATCATTTCTGCCTGGCACTCAGGAGAAAGATTCTGCTGAGGAGTGGACAAAGAAAACAATGATGGGCCACCTCAAGAAACAAATCAGATAGCTTCGACTTCCCCTCCAGAAGCCCTGCTGGGCTGGGGTGCTGCTACCCCTAGTTCTTAGATGTTCCCATATGTTCTCAACAGCATTATGTTCTTCCTAAGGAGTGTCACTAAAGCTAGCTGGTGTCTTAAGATTGTTACTTTTATTGATGATTTCCCCTTTACGCTTCCTGGTGGCCAGCGCCAAGACCACACCCCTACTTCTCCAATGGCCCTTTCCCTCAGTAAGCTCAGCTTATTGCTCATCTGTCACCTTCTCCCTGAACCCCAGCAGAAAGACATGGATGAGAGAATGGGCTGCCTATGACATCTGCCTGCTCGTTGACCGCCAGGGAAGGTTGACTGGTCTAGCTGGAGAAATGTTTGTTTTTATGAACAAGTAGTTCGTGAGTGCTCAGCTGAGGAGGATGACCTTCCCTTGGAAAGACCACCCTTTGGCCAACAGTCTTGGAGTAGCTGCCCTTCTTGCTAAAGTGTAGAAACACACTTTATAGGGCACCCTTCCTCCCTGGATGCCTTTCAAGGTACAGTTAGACCAGGCACACCGAATGACCACCATTGTCAAAGTTCTGGTAGTTTGTTGAAAGACAAGCAGTTCTTGGCACTTATAGGAGGTTGGCACTTTTTCATTGAAAAAGTGTCCTTTCCGTTTGTTTGTTTAGTTGGGTTTGTTGTTTGTTTTTTATTTTTTGATTCAGGAAGCATTTAGATATAGCTGATTTTGGTTCAATCAGGTCTCCTGTCTCTCGTTCCCCTTTCTACTGTTGATCAGCAATCTAAGATTAGAGGGTCAGCCCAAGGGTAAGGATGCCTGTTTCACATATTATTTGGTTACTTAAAGGGACATATGTTGATGGCTTTTTTGTTTGGGAGGAGAAGGAGAGAACAGGTCAGATGCTCCTGATATTTCAGTGTCTATGCCAAAACCTCACGTGGACCTTGTCTGTTCAAATGAGCTACTATTGAGAGAGACAGCAAAACCATCTTCTTTAGGGAACCTGAACATTGTCTTCAGCCTGAAGAAGGAGCAAAACATAGCTGAGAGGGAGAGCATAAGAGGAGAGCCATATATTCTCCTGACCGTGAGCTCGCAGTAGATAAACCCCTGGTTACCTGAAGGCAGCACCATGAGCACCATCTGCTGTGACTCATCAGATGCTTGGTTAACCCACTTGCTTGGGTGTCCATGGAGCTGCCACTCTGCCACCCTACACCAGTACGTTCCTGCAGCCTCCATCTCCACCTGCTGCAGCTCCAGGACAAAGTCTGTAGGGGACGAACGGTAACAGCGCAGGTGCCTCCTGAGCCCCTCCTCCCCGTACTCCAGCAAGCCATCATGCTGCAAGTGCACCAGCATTTTACTTCCAGCGTTCTCTCTGTTCCAGTACCACATCACAGAGTACAGAGCGGCTGAGCTGCCTGCGCTCTCCAGCCTGCAGTGGATGGCCACCTCGCCATGCTCGGTCACATTTTTCGTCCGGTGCACTTTGGAGACACGTACCTTACTTCCTAGAAAATAAAATGGCAGTAAGTTAGAGAACGCAGACTTTCAGACTGGATACCACCTCTGAAAAAATCTAGTTCTTACTGGGAAGATTTTATATTCTTTAGACATCAGTGCATTCATTTTATTTTACTATTTATTTTTATTTTGTGAGACAGTTATGCTCTGTCACCCAGGCTGGAGTGCAATGGCACAATTTCAGCTCACTGCAACATTTGACTCCTGGGTTCAAGCAATTCCTCTGCCTCAGCCTCCCAAGTGCTGGGATTACAAGCATGTGCCACCATGGCCAGCTGATTTTTGTATTTTTAGTAGAGACAGGGTTTCACCATGCTGGCCAGGCTGGTCTTGAACTCCTGGCTTCAAGTGACCCGCCCACCTCAGCCTCCCAAAGCATTGGGATTACAGGCGTGAGCCACTACACCTGGCCACATTCATTTTAATTCTTGTCCTTGGTCTCTCACATTTGCCAGGACATTCTCTACTAGGAATCAAACCAGGCTCTTTCCTTCTTTAGCCCTTCTTTAACCGCTTGCCTGCTGGACCCTGCCACTGAAAACCATGAAGCTTCTGGGGGGGCCCTCTGCCTGCTGTTTTTACTTATCCTTGATTCACTCCTCCTCTACTTCCCAAAGCGATCATCACAACTTTTAGCAGCTCCCTCAAGCCATGTATTCCACCAGTACTCCTCATTCTTAGCAAATTACTCTCCCCCATACACCCAGATATTATCTTGGGTGTAGACACAGAGAGAGAGGAAGCCATCTGAGAGACTGAAGATTTTGATGCAAGTGTTAGAAAACCATCCAAGGGAACTATTTAAATGATTGGATTAGACTAATTTTTAACAGATCTTGACATTTACTTTTTTTCTCCTTGCTATCCAGCAGGTGAGGATTTAGAATGACCACCAGAGTAGTTACAAACAAAATAAAGAAATTATAACGTGCATTACATTTTCAGTTTCACAATAAACATATTTATTTGTTTATTTATTTATTTTATTTTATTTTATTTATTTTGAGATGGAGTCTCACTCAGCCACCCAGGCTGGAGTGCAATGGCACAATCTCATCCCACCTCAACCTCTGTCTCCCAGGTTCAAGTGATTCTCCTGCCTCAGCCTCCCAAGTAGCTGGAATTACAGGCATGGACCATCATGCCTGGCTATTTTTTGTATTTTTAGTAGAGATGGAATTTTACCATGTTGGCCAGGCTGGTCTTGAACTCCTGACCTCAACTGATCCACCCGCCTTAGCCTCCCAAAGTGCTGGGATTATAGGCATGAGCCACTGCACCTGGCCCAAACACATTTATCAATCTGTCTTTAAGATAATAATTCTGTCTGAATTATTAATTTTCTCTTTTTTAGTTACCTTCTTTACTCTCTCATTTCCTTCATGGAGAAGCACGTGGAATATTAGCTCATGTGAGACTGTTGCTGTTTCCTTGCCTCAAATTACTTTCTACTTTACTGTGATCTGGCTTCCAATCCCATCACTACACTCGGCCAGGGCCCAATTTTCCAGTGTGAGGGACCCTCTAGTCCTTTTCTGTCCTCTATGTGGTTTTGTCAGTGGAGTCCATTTTCTTCTAACCTCAGATAAAATATCTTTCTTACAACCCTGACCAGTCATTCTCAGCATCTTTCTGGGGCCTCTTCGTTAACTCATTCCCTAAATGATGTACACAACTGCAAGTCCACAGCCACGCCTAGCCCACAGGTATGTTCTGCCTGACACGTGCAGTATTTTAAAGGAACTGGGCCAGGAGAGGTGCCCACACCTGTAATCCCAGCATTTTAAGAGGCCAAGGCGGGCAGATCATGAGGTTAGGAGTTGGAGACCAGTCTGACCAATATGGGGAAACCCTGTCTGTACTGAAAATATAAAAATTAGCCGGGCGTGGTGGCGCGTGCCTGTAGTCACAGCTACTCAGGAGGCTGAGGCAGGAGAATCGCTTGAACCCAGGAGGCAGAGGTTGCAGTGAGCTGAGATCATGCCATTGCACTGCAGCCTGGGCAACAAGAGTGAAACTCTGTCTCAAAAAAAAAAAAAAGAAATTAGTTGTGGACATTCTCAAACTAGGATATGTCATCAAAGAAGATTTTAGGCAACTGTAGATATGCAAAAGGATCTGACAACACGGAGCCCACATTTCTACATGGGAAGCACGTGAGCTAGGCAGTGGCTGCCTCCTGAAGAGGGGCAGGCACATGCAGTCAAGAGTTTGGCATCCTGGGAGACAGAATGCCAATCACACAGATGGGAAATGCAGAAGTACAAAGGAGCGTGGCGAGATGGCATTGACACCAAGTGCAATTTAGGGCATGCTGAGTATGGCGGCATCCAAGTAGAAACGTAGAGCTGGCAGTTGGCTATGAAGGCTTGGAGCTCAGGAGATCCGGGCTAAGCGCAAAATCTCAGAGCTATCATCTAGAAGATGTTACTTGAAACCAGGGCAGTGTTTAAGCAATTCTGAGGAAAGCAGAGAATAAGACGCAAAACAGGCTGCGGATTATCCCTGAGGAACACACACATTTAGCAGGGAGAAGAAGGGGCTGGAAGGACATAGAGAAGGGAAGACAGGGGCAGGAAGAGACCCCGCTGTACCAATCGGCTATTTTGCCCTTGTTGTCCCCGCGGACTGGGAGCTCCCTAAGGGCCAGGCCTGTGCCTTCTTCATCTTTGTACTCCATCGCCTAATACATAGTAATGCTTAATTATCATCTCATTTTTTTACGTTACCTTGATAATAGTATTGTAAGCACCAAATTAGATCAACTTCTCTGCCTTGTGCTGCTGGGTCTTATCCAGTTCCCGAACCCGAGCTGTGACGTTCATTTAATTTTAGCCAACACTGAAGGTGACCTAACCAATGCTGAGAGACCTAATCAACCCTGCCCACGTTTAGACAGCAGCACCCTTAGACCAGTGTGGAACTTCCATTACATTTTTAAAGATCTCCTGAGGAAGAGGAGACTCCCTCAGTAAGCCATTCCAACAGTTAACTACTCTTATTTGCCTTATGTTTAGGCAGCTAAATGTTGCGAAGCAATTTCTCCACACATCCCCGTAGAGTTGTGCAGTTTCTGTTCACAGTGGGAGAAATATGCTTCGTATTACTCTTTCTTTGCCAAATTACAGTAGAGCCCCACTGGAATGACACAGCTTGTTATTATAGAGATCTGGAGATACGACACCCTGGGTAGCTGCATGGACCAGGCTGCCAGGCTGAGAAGCAAACCAGTCAAAGGATTTTGCTCCTATCCGAGCTCCCCAAAACCTCAGATTGAATCACCTTAAGTGACCTCCCTTCCTCTGTTGGACTACCGGTTCTGCAGTCATTTGTTCCTATGACTTTAGGTCATATTTTTACTTCCACATAATCACTCCATAGAACAGCTCCCCGAGAGAAAACAGCCACCGGACAGAAAGACATTGTGAGGACACACTCACAGGTTTACCTGTGGGCTTGAGTTTCAGTTCTGTTAGTCCTGACTTCTTCTCTCCAAGCTTGTGCCACGTGCCATTTGTAGACAGGAGCCATTCCTCCACAGCACAGTGGTATCTGCCCTGATCACTATCTTCCACATTCAGAATGTGCAGCTGAAATAAGTCTTGGGAAACCTTCTCAGTATGAAATTTTTGTTTTCTCCGTGGGGTGTGAAATTCATCCCCGATCTTTATAACATTGGTTTGGTCCATCTCCAGGATCTTTAGCCAGGAGGCATTAGTGGAAATAGGAGAAAAATACCAAATAATGGCTAACTGAAGGTTTCCGCTGGACCGGGACAGGATGCTACATTCTATATCAGTATTGGAGTTGATGGCAAGCTCCTGGACTTGACTCCTTGAATCCACTTTTAGCTTGCTCTCTAAATTTAAAAAATGAAAACAGTTACTTTGCTAGGAAATACAAAGTTAAGGCAGTAGAGATGTTAGAGGTGAAGTATGACACTGCATCCTCCCGCCATCATATGGGCGAACCCCCTCTACGGTCACCTGCTCACTGCTCATTCAGCTTTTGAACAACATCGCTAGCTGACAAGGCAGCCCATTCCATCCCATAGTGTGACATGCAAGGTCCTTTATCATCTGGTACATTTGTGTCTTTCCAGCATCTTCTCCTTCAACTTTCCATCTTGAATTTGAGCTTCAGCCACACTGAATTACTTGCAGCTCCTCAAGGGTCCATGTTCCCTCTCACTTTCAAAGCCTTGCGTTGCATCTCAAGTTGCATACAAGATCGGTGTCTTCCACATTTAGAACGTGCAGCTGAAATAAGTCTTGGGAAACCTTCTCAGCGTGAATTTTTTGGATGCTTTGTTTTGTTTGAGATGGAGTCTTGCTCTGTCACCCAGGCTGGAGTGAAGTGGCGTGATCTCGGCTCAATGCAGCCTCCACCTCCTGTGCTCAAGTGATTCTTGTGCCTCAGCCTCCTGAGTAGCTGGGACTACAGGCACACGTCACCACGCCTGGCTAATTTGTGTCTTTTTAGTAGAGACTGGGTTTCACTATGTTGGCCAGCCTGGTCTCGAGTTGCATTTCAAGTTGCATCTCTTATGTGGAAATAAATCCTTAACCTCTTCTCCATCAGAATAATTCCTATAAACCCTTAAGATTCAGCTCAGAGCTATGTCCCCCAGGAAGTTATGTCCTCCAGAGTTATGTCCTTCACTCCTGTATTTGGGCTAGGAGACCCTGCTGTGTGTTCTGATGGCCACTTCTACATACCTCTGTCTTACATGAGTGACATGAGGGACATGAGGAAAAAAATTTTACACTGAGGCCAGGCATGGTGGCTCATGCCTGTAATCCCAGCACTTTGGGACTGTCACTACAGAATGCTTTCTGACATCAAGCTGAATTTTATCTCTTCACCACTTCCATCCACTAGTCCCAGTTCTACCTGTGCCTGGTAGGGGTGGTGTGGCAGAGGGAGTGTCACACAGACAAGCCTAGCATCTCTCTTCCACAGGATAATGCTTCAGTATTTAAGCACAAGCATCTCTTCTGTTGTACTTCATATAACGGATTGGGAGAAAGTGGCCCCATGAATGCTATGTCTGTGTATTTACTATCCAGAGTACTCCTGGATTCACAATTTCCAAACTCTAGTTGTATCTGCCTTCAACCACGGGTAAACAAAAGGCAGCTGTACATGGGTGATTAGAACTGTGTGTGTCTTTGCAGCCACTTAACTGTGGGAACATCATATGGATAGGGAGTCAACTAATCTTTGACCTCAGCAGATTTTCTGCCTTGTCAGAAAGATGAGTGACAATCCTTGTTCCCAAACCTTCTTCTAACTTCTTGCCCACATCACCCACTCTACTTTTGTAACTGTGTACTGATGTTGCCAGTAGGTTCTCTTCTTTATGAAGTACACAGACAATTCTAGCTCCTGTGGGTATCTCCCCTCAGTCTACGGGAGACACTTACAGGGACAGGGGCTTAGAGATGGTACCAAATGCCATTTGTAAACAGGAGCCATTCCACCACAGCACAGTGGTATTTGCCCTAATCGCTGTCTTCCACATTTAGAACGTGCAGCTGAAATAAGTCTTGGGAAACCTTCTCAGTGTGAATTTTTTGGATGCTTTGTTTTGTTTGAAATGGAGTCTTGCTCTGTCACCTAGGCTGGAGTGCAGTGGCGTGATCTCAGCTCACTGCAACCTCCACCTCCTGTGCTCAAGTGATTCTTATGCCTCAGTCTCCTGAGTAGCTGGGACTACAGGAGCATGCCACCACACCTGACTAATTTGTGTCTTTTTAGTAGAGACTGGGTTTCACAATGTTGGCCAGGCTGGTCTCGAACTCCTGATCTCAGGTGATCTGCCTGCCTTCCCCTCCCAAAGTGCTGGGATTACAGGCATGAGCCACCATGCCTGGCCTCAGTGTAAAATTTTTGTTCTTCATGATCCTCATCTCACCCATGTAAGACAGAGAGGTATGTAGAAGTGGCCCTCAGAGCACACAGCAGGGTCTCCTAGCCCAAATACAGGAGTGAGGGGAGACTTCCAGGAGGAGATAGCTCTGAGCTGACTCTTAAGGGTTTATAGGAATTATTCTGATGGAGAAAAGGTTAAGGATTTATTTCCACACAAAAGATGCAACTTGACCAAAGACTTTGAAAGTGAGAGGCAACATGGACTCTTGAGGAGCTGCAAGTAATTCAGTGTGGCTGAAGCTCAAATTCAAGGTGGAAAGTTGAAGAAGATGCTGGAAAGACACAAATGTACCAGATGATAAAGGACCTTGCATGTCACACTATGGGCATTTAGTTACGAGGTGAATATGAGAGTTGTGATGACTCAGGTTTTCAACTTGGGTCACTGGTGGGCAGTGGGGACATAAGGGGCAATGTAGAAGGAATAGCTTTGGATAACAGCGGTAGGTTTATGTTTTGACATAACGAGTGCAGACATGTCCTAGAGACAGTCGGATATATGAGTCTGGAGACCAGAAGAGAAATTGGTCAAGATAATGAATTTGGGAGTTGTGAACATACAGGTTGTATCCACAGGCCGGGATGAGTCCACCACAGGAGAGCGTATAGAATGAAAAAACAGCATAGCTGAGAATAAAATCCAGAGAAATTGTTTTCTTTAAAGAATAAATCAGCAGAGGAGAAAAATCTTGTGTCATGGTGCCAAGGAAAAAAGAAGTTCCAAGAAGACAGATTGGGTCAGCAATTGCAAATACCACAGAGAGGAATAATTAAGGCATGAATTCATGAACAAGAGGATCATTACTATCACCAAAAATGTTGCAGAGCAGCAGAGAGAATAATGACAGCGACCACATTTGAGCGTCATCTTGGCGTGTCAGGTACTCAGCATGTTATATATGGCACCACATTTAAATTGCACATTAACAATTTACAGATCAGGTCACTAGGCCTTGAGCAGATTAAGTGGCTCATCCAGAGCTGTTCGGCTGCCCAGTGACTGTCAGATCTAAATGACTTCACCGTGTCTCCATCACTCTGTCCTAAGAGGATGCAAGCTATGAGAGAGAAGATACGTGACACAGCAGAGCTCTGCCTAGGTGGTGTCTCACTTTTAACCCCTGTGCTCTATCACCGGGTGACGAGGTGGATTATTTTTGACTGTAATAATAAATTCTCTGACTTATACATTAACACCTTACGAATAAGTAGGATGTATGCCAATGGAATTTACAGTATCCCTACCACTAGCAGAAAGATAGCAAATGTTTCCTAACTGGTAAGGCCTGGGCAGCGACCAATCCAAAACATTGCATCTCCTAGAGCCAGGTCCTAGAGGCCCCCTGCTGTGCCACGTGGTACCCTTTAGTTGCTGGGTGGTGGGAACTTATGGGAAAATGGGGAATGGACACAGCAGCAATGAGCCAACATGGAAAGTATTTCAATGTTTTAACAACCAGTGTGGCCATCCCGTGCATACTAACTCAATGTTAACCTGTCTATCCTTCATCATGTGGTGCTTACATAGACAGAACAAATACGGGAGAAGGTCGTTTTATGTTTTATTTTTATAACTTATCCAAAATGGGAGGAATGCTATTTGTTTTTAAAGCAGAGATGAATTTCAAGTCACACTTACCTGGTAAAGTGACGGCTATCCTTAGCGGGTTAGAGATGGCAGAAGCCCTCGGGGGGCGGCTGTTGTGTAGGGAATTTCTGTCATAAACTTCCACTTTACACTGATACACTCCTGTCTCTTCCTCAGTGGCATCATGGATTAGGAGTTGTGAACGAAATAAAGACTGTGAAACTTTTGTCTTCTTATGGAATCGGGATGGGAGATCCCCCCATTCAATAGTGCCGTTGTGGGTGATTCGAATAAGCAAGTGGAAGTTGTGAGAGCTAGCTGGCTGGAACTGCCAGGTCACGGTGAGTGGCACCTTGAGGTCAGAGTAACCGGCCCCCACTATGCAGGTCAGGTCAAAGGTGTTGGTTAACATCACTTGCGGCTGACGGCTCACCAGACTAACTTGTAAACTTGACTCTAGAAGAAAAAGTGAGACACAACTTCTAATATATTTACCAGATTAAAATACAGCACTTTCAAGTTCTTCTAGTTGCCAGCTCTTCGAGGAGGACCCTGCATTTGTACATTTGGAGTTTCATATTTTGTAGAGTAGAAGCTGATTCACAGTAGTCTGCCCTGAACTCTGACCTCGGTTTTGCAAAGTTGACCCTCTTCTAAGACTGTTCCCAGCAGCCACAACAACTAGGCAGTGTTTCTCCAGTGTGCTACTTAGACAGCTGCTGCTCCTGAGTGGGTGGAGCACTCCCTACCCCGGTGGTCTGGCCTCCTTCCCTTACCCCGTGCGTGGGTGCAGTAACAGAACGCTTTTGCACATGCCCCAACGGGCTCTGCAATCCCCGGGCCGCAGCTGTCAAAAACCAGAAGGTATAAGGCTCAGCCATGTTCGACTATAAGCTGATTCATAGAATTTTGTTGTTCACCTCCAACAGCAATTTACAAGTTACACTCTAAAGGCGATCTTTACAAAGATGAAGAAACTTTAAAAATTGACAGAGAGCGTAGCCGTAAACTATGCTCTGTGTCCTAGGGTACACATACCATAACTGGGGGATTCAGGATAACACGCAATCCAATTCCACTGCAGAATGAATCGACTGATATACAGGTGCAGGAAAGGATTTTCTTGGACACTTACCCAGAGATTTGACAGTAACTGAAATCTTCTGAGCCCAGCTCCGATCTCTGGCCGGGTTCCGAGACTTTTCAGATACTCGACATTCGTAAGTGCCACTGTCTGTGATGGCAGGGAAGGTGATCTCCAGCTGGAAGGTGGCCCAGTCTACTTTCTCCAGCCTTGCGTTGCCCTGGTAACTGGGTCCTCCATAGGAGGCGCCCAGCTGCACGATGCCGTCCTGCCCCATGCCAGCCACAAACTCGGGCTGTGTCTGGTCCCGTGGGATGTGCCACCAGCTCACAGACAGGGAACTTTCAGCTCCACTGGCCTTGCAGAGAAGAGTGAGCGTCTCTCCTTCCCATACAACTTGCTCCTTGTTCTTGGTAGACATGACCACACTTCTTGCTGTGGGTTACAGATTATAGAAGAAAAAACTGTTTTAGATAAATTAGAAATTTTCTAAAATACACTGAAATCTCATTAATTAGGACTTGACTAGTTTGTGACAAGTCAAATCAGGCTGTTTCCTCTTGCACCACGCTCAGGCGAAAGATTTGCCAAACATTTAATTAGTGGAAACAAGATAGCAGAAAGAATATTGGAGAATGTATTTACCCTTAAACAATTTATTGATTTCTAAAGCTGGGTCTTGCTGTGCTGTGCGGGCTGGAACACAGCACTGCGATCTTAACTCATGACAACCTCACACTCCTTGGCTTAAGCCATCCTCCTGCCTCAATAGCTGGGACTACAGGCACCCGCGACCATGCTGGCTAATTTTTAAAATTTTTGTAGAGATAGGATCTCTCTTTGTTACCCAGGCTGGTATTGAACTTCTGGCCTCAAGCAATCCTCCTGCCTCAGCCTCTCAAAGGGCTGGGATTACAGGATTGAGCCACTGCACTCAGCTTACTTAAACAATTTATCACTTGCACATATTTTTTTCTTAGTTTGTTAAATCAACTCTTCCTTAAGAATATCTAGTTGGGCAAACATCTGGGACCATTTTATTATATTAATTAGGGTATATATAAGAACCTGAAAGTAATAAAGCTGTGTTTACTTCAATGTTTAGTTTTTTAGAATTTGGACCTTCAGAGTTCAAAATGGTCTTCCTCTTCCTTATCTTTCTCTAGTCAATCTAATTGGTTTAGCATGTGTTTTGAACAAGGAAGAAACATTGTTAATTATATCTCTGTTCACAATACTACCATAAAAGACAATTACTTAGAAAAATACATGTATGTATATACATACAATACACATACACAAACACACACGTTGTTGTAGACAGAGAGGCTTCTTATGTCTAAACTACAGTGTAAAACCATAAATGTAAATCTGGATCCCAGATGGGAACTCCAAGTCATCATTCAACAAACACATTCATTCAACAACCATTAATTCTGCAAGGTCTTGTCCTGGCTGCTTTGTGAGCAGTGTAGAGATACAGCAGGAGATCGTACATCCGAGACAGCACAGCACTAATTTAAGGCCATGGCTCCTTTAGTCAGAATTGCCCTGGGCAACATATGTGACCTCTCTGAGCCTCAGTTTTCTTTCCTGTAAAAATGAAGATAATAATAGGGCTCACCTTGCTGCATTGTTAAGAAGACTGAACAAACAGCACATGCAAAGCGCTTAGCCTGGATGGCTAGGGAAAGTACTTAGAAAAGGTTAGCTGCTAGCGTTAGTGTTTAATGACAGGCACTGGCAAAAGCAGAGGCAATTCAAAGCAAAAGAGGAAAATAAAATAGAACTGGCATTAGAAATCTAAATAGGATCTAAATGAATTTGCAAATTGTTCTTCCCTGCGGAGGAAGGAGTTCAGTCTTTGGCTGTTTTATGCATACATATACATAAGTAACAAAGGCAGAAGGAAGGTTAATGTCCATAAATATGTTTTTAAAAAGAGAAAATCTGCTTTCAAATTTAATTTTTTTCAAGTTAAAAATAGACTCATAACTGAAGTTTAGAAATTGGAGGAGAAATTATTACTCATATTCTCATCACTTGAACGTAACCAAGATGATTAGTTTAAACTAACCTCATTTTTTAAAAATGGGGTTTCCTTAGTTCATTGCGGTCATTACTGCCTTTTGGTAAGAAGTAATAAACTTACGAAATGTGTGTAAGTTACACATTCACAGTGGTAGTAGGTGATTAAAATATTCATAAATAATAAAATATTGTTAATACTTCAAGTAACGTTTGACTTTGAAAGCAAAATGCTAAACAGCATTTGTAAATTTGCTAACTTTTCTGGGTCTACATAGTAAGCCCAGTGTAGACTCTAGCCTGTACAAAGAACTATTTTTAGTTTTGGAACATGACCTTATCGATAGGATGATCAGCTGTGTACCCTGAAGTACATCTTTGGGTGAAATTACCACATACCAGGTTTACAAAAGCCTGCAGATATGTTCTAGAGAAGTCTGAGATGCATAAAGCAGAGATTTATCTCTGCATAACTATTTAAACCTACCTATATTGTGTTTCCTTAACTCTAGAAAGTCAGACCAAATGTTTAGTGTGAAAACGAACACCAACACACTTCCTGGGCTGCCCGTCAAGGCCGAGGCTGTGCATCTTCATTCCTAGTAAGTGGCTTATTGGAGAAATGGAAAGGACATGTCTCCATCTTTGGAGATGTCTCCAACAAGTCAGCGCATCAAGGACATCTTTATTTTTAGCTCAGTTTTTAAAAATTTAAAATATTAAATTTTGTTGTTGTTGTTGCTTGTGGGCAATTAATCTTTCTGGACTTTGAATTTAAACCCAGCCTAGTGAATCCTTATATTATTGTAGATTTGTCTGTTTTTCTCCACAAAAAAGGCATTGACTATTCAAACATGTTTAAGGTCACCCAACCTTCATGAAGTAAAGGTGAGCTGAGTGGCTTCCTCAGTTCTGTACATGCAGACACTCAGAACCATTAAGACCGGAGTCTCACCACATCACAGCAAAATGCAGAGGATGGAGTCTGCCCACTATCAATTACCTTTTCGTTTCTTAACTGTGAGTCAGAATTGTGACTAAGTAGTATTTCCCATACCAGTTTAACACAGTAGGGGATTAACAGAAGGCAACTGAACGATGCCAGCTGAGTCTCGAGGTAGGATAGCATGGGTGTTCATTCCCCAGGAAGGAGGGCAAAGTGTAGCTGTTTACTCTTAACCTATGTCTCTCTCTCTGTCTCTTTCTCGCTCTCGCTCTGTGTCACACACCACACACACACACACGCACACACACACGCGCACACACACACGCGCGAAGGCAGAGGGCTTCATTAATACAGATGCTCTCTGCTTTAAGAAATATCTAATATATAAAAATTAGAACAAAAAATAAATAGACTCTAAGACAGCAAGAAGGAACTTCAAGACCATCTAGATGTGTGCCATCATTTTACAGATGAGGGAGCTGAGACTTAGAGACATAAAGTGGGGTGTTCGTGGTCGCAGCTCGCCTAATAACTCAAAATAGGACTCAGGTCTCCAGCTAGCTTGGGTGCCTTCCTTCACGCCACTCCATTCCACCTCCAATGTGATCTGATTGAAACCTGCTCTTCACAAAGATCCCTACTGTATCCACGAAGGCGTCTTCCATGGACAAGACGGGACCTGAAAGCAGCCCAATGCATGTCTGATCTTGACTTCACATACCTGCTGGCTTCTTCAGGTGCACGTGGCTGTCTGGTGACTGCTTTCTCTGAAGCACCTGCCAGGAACCTGTGTGTGTTTTCATGACCTCTGCTACCGTACATCCGTAGGCGCCTTCATCCTCTGGGCCCAGAGAGAAGATCTTGAGAGAGAAAGCCTTGGGGCCTAACTTTGAAACCTGGAGCTCTCCTTGACTTGCTCTTCCTTTGTAGTCATTCTTCAGGCCCAGGACTCCACCAGCATCAATGTGAGCAATTTCAGTCCCATTGAAGAACCAGATGCCTTGAAGCTGTGGATCACGACCACTGCCTACAACCAGGCAAACCAGTTCTAAGGGTTTCCCTTCAGCAAACAAGCTGTCAGCTGTAATGTTGACTTGAAAATCTCTCCCTGGGAAACAAAAACAAGGCAGGTATTTAGAGAGCCTATTGTCTCTGTCCTTTCAGTATCAGAGAGAGATGACACCCCCTGTAAGGATCCTACAGGGATCACACTTTCTGAGGGAGCTCAGTTCTATAGTGGTAGGGGAACCAAAAAAAGAAAGAAAAATCCTTAGAGTAAAAAGTCCTCATGACTCTTCCTTAAATTAAATCACCCAGAAACAACAGTACCCATGGTTTTCTGAATGCACTCCTAGGAAGCAAGATGTATGCACAAACATCTGAGGCATATAGTAATCTATGCTTTTTAAATTAAAAAATAAAATATTGGAATCAGGCACAGTGGCTCACGCCTGTAAGTACTTTGGGAGGCTGAGGTGGGTGGATCGCCTGAGGTCAGGAGCTCAAGACCAGCCTGGCTAACACAGTGAAACCCTGTCTCTACTAAAAATACAAAAAATTAGCTGACTGTGGTGACGTGTGCCTGTAATCATAGCTGCTAGGGAGGCTGAGGCAGGGAAATCACTTGAATCCTGGAGGCGGAGGTTGCAGTGAGCCAAGATCGCGCCACTGCACTCCAGCCTGGGCAACAAGAGCAAAACCCCGTCTCCAAAAAACAAAATAAAATAAAACAAAATACTGTATACTGCATTAAATACTGTATATATTAAATTAAATATTTTACACAGAATTGCTATAAATTATTATTTCTTCCTCTCTTTTTTTGCTAAGAATATCCAGAATTTTCTCAAGTTAGAAAACACTGTGATATGGCTACATAGGACTCATGAATGTAACTTGGATACCTGAGACCAATGTGACAACTTTAAGTGGAACACAATATCACTCTTTTTAATAAAGAAAAAACTTTAATGATTCACCATTGGATCATTGCTCTTAGCAATGGGTATACAGTACCATTTAGCAATGGCTTAGCAACCCCTTCCTGTTGGACAAAAGCCTATAGGGAGAGACCAGGAATCACAGACAAAGCCTTTCTACTTGTTTTGACAATAATGCCAAAGGATTATGAAAAGTGACAGCAGGCTGGGTGTGGCGGCTCATGCCTGAAATCCCAGCCCTTTGGGAGGCCGAGGCGGGAAGATTGCTTGAGCCCAGGAGTTCAAGGTTAGCCTGGCAACATAACAAGATCCTGTCTCTTAAAATTTTTTTAAAAATCAAAAAATAATAAAAAAAAGCAAGTGACTGCATTCCAAATTGGGAAAGGGGACAGGTGGAAGAAAATCCCGTCACCGATGAAGACAAGGCTTCATGTTGGAAACTGGAGCTACTTTGAGGCCCAGCCGCCTGTGGTGAGTGGGCTTTGGAGAGAGACAGGCCTCTCTTTGAATGCCAGCCCTGCTCTCACCAGCTGGGTGGGCTTAGGCAGCACATCCAGCATGTCTGAGGCTCAGAGTCCTCATTTTTAAAATGAGGACTCAACTTCTTGCCTCACAGGGTGATTGTCAGGATTAAATTAGCTCATGTGCAAACACAGAGGCTGCAAAAATGGTAACAAAACTACTTCCATGGCTGACTTGTGAAATTGATCTAACCACGGAGTAGACCTTATCTCATAAAGAATCTGTGGGCAGAGCCAAAACTGAATATCCTCCCTCTTTGGTATGCTTCTCAGATGACAAAAATGCAAAATCAAATCAAACTTTCTAACCAATTTTTTTTAGAGCCAAAGAAAGATTAGAACAAAAATTAAAAGATATTTCATAAATCCCCACTACCTAATCTAGTGAATTTCCTAGGAAGATGATTACCTGCTGGCTGGATCCTCAGAGTGGTTTGATCTGTCTGCTTTTTCGTGATGGACATCCAGGTTTCATTTGGATCCTGAATCCATTCCGTTGCCTCACAGAACAGCTGGCCCTGATCCGAGGGCCGGAGCCTCTCTATGGACATCCTGAACGTAGAGGCCCCCAGCTTGTTGAGTCGTATGTCACTGGCTGCAAACCTCTCTGTATACAAGGGCCCAGGGATCGATACAAAATCTTTGGAGAGAGAAATAATCTCCGTGGCTTGGCTTCCTCCTCCTTCCTGCATTAGGTACCAGGTGACAGAGAGGTGTGTATGTTGGGCTGTGGCTTTGGATGCCTCACACGTGAGGGTTAATGGCTCACCTTCTTCCTTACTGAGAGTCTGAGAACGCATGGTGGCAGAGAGGGTATCTGGAATAACTGGAAACGAGGGAATGATAATAAAATGGTCTGCCCAGTGCTTGTCCGGTGGGCCTCCTTAGGTGAAAATGGCACCCCGAGCCTCCATATGTAAAGCACACAGACTTTGAGTTGATTTTCTGCCTCTCCATATGCTTTCCTGTCCATATGCTTTCCCTATTGCCAGTGGGAACATTGGCGTCTATGTACAGTCTACAGAACTTGGCAAAGCAAATGTCTCACCGATGTGTTGACCCTCACTTCACTTCATTAGCATAAGCTGTAACCAATTTAGCTCTTCAGACACAGAGCTTGTATTTGAAGGGAGAAGGCACTGGGATAGAAAAACCTTAGATTCTGATCCCAAATCCATCCCTACTACATGGACTTGGGGATGCCACTTCACCTCCCTTGGCCTTAACCTGTTCCTCTCTAAGGCTCTGTAATAATCTGTTAAAATGTGTCAGTTAGATCCCAAAAGCAATCTTTACTAAGGTGTTGGTAACTGTCTTATTACCCTGCCATTCTTGTTTTCCTAGAACGAAATCACATTTCTAAGCTTATGTAGAAGCAACACTTGGATTTAATCAAGTGACAGAATGTGACAGAGCATCTGCTCAGTGCTAGCCACTGAGGAGAAGCTGAGGATGTGGTGAGAGAGAGGCATACGAATCGCCAATTACCATATAACTGGATGCATGCTGACAGCAGTGGTATGAACAGACAATCTAAAGGAAGCAAAAGTGAGAATTCTGCCCAAGCCGTCAAGATGAGTTCCACAGAAGAGGTAAAGGTAATATCTAAACTGGGTCCTGAAGTACATGTAGGAGTTTGCTAAGCTGAAAAGGGGGTGATAGATATTCCAGACAAAGGGACAAAGTGACAATTGCAAGGATTATGACCCTTTCCCAATATCTAAATATGCTAGAGAATGGTAATTTGAGAATAATCATTTCCAAGTTAATGACTTATCACCTAAGATACCAGTTCTCTTGTCAAATTACTGTTATCCCTCCAAGCAGAGACAACACAAGGAGAACTCTCATAGCTTTGTTGAATGCTGTTGCTATTAGCAACCTATGGACAGCTGTGGACAAGGCCTTGGGAAAACCACTCGCCATCTAAATCTTTGATGGCAAAGGTAACTGAGAAAAAGAAACAGATGATTTTAGAGAATATGAGATACCCTCTTGTGATCTATCTCCAAAATAGCCACAGGGGTACATGGGCTCTTTTCTCAAAGAAAATGGAACAATGTAAAGTCATGTCATATTGCAAAACACTGTGATGACAGAGACTCTGGCTTCTCAGGGACTGGCTAGCAGAAGTGGACAAGCAGCTTACCAATTAGATTAGTCTTTGCACTGTAACTCCCGTAGTATTTCTCATCAGTGTTCGGTGTGTGGCACTCATACTCGCCAGTATCCTTGACCTGGAGCTTTGAGATGTGCAGCATGACTGAGTTGCCCTGGACCCTCTCCACGTAGATGTCTCCACTTCGCACGCGCTGCATATATACTGTGTAAGAGAAGCCAGCATCCTTGGTGCTAATGATCTGGACTTCCTGGCTCGGGTCTGTCGGCAGGTAAACAGACCACTGGAAATGCTGCTCATAAGGTCCCTGGTGGCCAGTCACATTGCAGCCAATGCTGACTGGGTAACCTTCAGCTCTAAACAGTGGTCCTTTCTGAACTGTTACTTCTCTCTGGCCAAGACTGAGCTCAGCTTGCAAGCAGGAGAAAGAAAGAGGGATAAAAAGAGATTAGTGCTCAGTTCCCAGTGTACCACATTATGTATTTCCCTGTATGACAATTCCGGTAAATGAGATCGCAGGTTATTAGCTATAATCAACTCAAATGTTCAACGTCTTCTTCAGGCTGAGCTGCAGTGAAGTCGCTTGATGAGTTAACTGTTCTTTTATAACTTTAACTTCCATAGTAATCTTCAGTCCCTTAAAAAAAAGTTTTGGCCGGGCGCCGTGGCTCACGCCTGTAATCCAAACACTTTGGGAGGCTGAGGCGGGCGGATCACAAGGTCAAGAGATTGAGACCATCCTGGCCAACATGGTGAAACCCCGTCTCTACTAAAAAAATACAAAAATTAGTTGAGCGCCGTGGCACGTGCCTGTAGTCCCAGCTACTCGGGAGGCTGAGGCAGGAGAATTGCTTGAACCCAGGAGATGGAGGTTGCAGTGAGCCGAGATAGCGCCACTGCACTCCAGCCTGGTGCCTGGCGACAGGGCGAGACTCTGTCTCACACGCAAAAAAGTTTTAACTTCATCAATATAACATGACCACTTCTATAAAACATCTGCTTATCGAAGGGTACTTATGTTAAAGCAAATAAATGTATGATAATGCACCCTTTACATTATTTTATGGGAAAATTTGGCATATACCTGCTCAAGCCTCAAATTCCAGGGTGCCTGTCATCGGGCAGTTTCCAGAGAAGTAGTTGCTGGAGCTGCAAAGTCTAGGGCTCTGCCTTTGGTGCCACAATTTTTCTAGCTGGTGGGTTGGAACTGTCTGTAGTTCCTGGCCAGGTCTGTTGCAAGACTAGCCAAAATTAGCATCTGAAGAGGCAGCAGCACTTCCTTCTACTCTGTGGAGGGTTTTTTGGTTTTGTTTTGTCATTTCTTAAACAGCCACTATAGCTTTACTGAAAAACCTCCTAATAGATGGCTGTAAAATCCAGCAGGTTCTGGGATTGGAATTTATTTTAGCTTTTTTCTGACCAAAAGTTTTCCGTTGGGACAACTAGGGAATGTTTTCTATTAGAACTAATCTCAAGTATTAGGGCTAAAGGAAAAAAAAAAAAAACATGATTAATGGTAATATTTCATTTGACAAATTTTTTAAATCAAGTATTTTTCAGAAGTCAAAAAGCATATCTTTACTTACTACGATTGATGTTAAAGGCTAGTTCATTTTGTGTTACAGAAAGAACAAAGACAAATGACAGACACGCCACAAGAGTGGCCAGTTATTTCACTAGGGACCTGGGGTACAGTGAAAGAGAAGACAGGATTGGAAGACATCAGAAGAACCAGAGAGGGAGAGACTGCTGGCCTTATGGAGTTAACCCAACAGAGTTCATAAGAAGATGCGGAAGAGGCATAACCTCTGCTGCATTTTGTGACTCCACAGGGACAACAGTAACGGAGATTATGAGGAAGGAGACTCTTAATCACCTTCAGCCTTCTACCTTGCATCTCAAAAGGGGAAGTTAGAAGTTAGCCAGAGGAGGGACCAGTTGGCGCCACCAGCCCGGTTAAGGATAAGATCCCTACTGCTAACAACAATCCCATCTATAGATCATGGACATGATACGGAGGAATCTCTCAGAAGGCACTGTTTTTACTTAAACAGGATCAAACCCCCAGCCCACGCCTGCTTCATGGATCAAGACCGTTTCACATAGAGTTGTGAGCCCAAGACCCTTTCACATGTAATGTTTAGAGCTGTAAGCCTTTAAAAGCGCAGCGACTTTCTTTGTTAGAGGAGCTCGGCTGTTAGGCAACGACGCCGCCTTGCTCTGGGCAGAATAAATCGCCCCTTCCTTCCCACTTCGGTGTTTGAGAGGTTTGTTGTGCGGCTCTTCCTGCTTTAACTAGAGTGGAAAAAAAAAGGTAAGGGAAGCGGACATAGCAGAGAACATGATAAGGCCGAGTATAAGAATCTGGGACGGCCGGGCGCGGTGGCTCAAGCCTGTAATCCCAGCACTTTGGGAGGCCGAGGCGGGTGGATCCCGAGGTCAAGAGATCGAGACCGTCCTGGTCAACATGGTGAAACCCCGTCTCTACTAAAACTACGAAAAATTAGCTGGGCATGGTGGTGCGTGCCTGTAATCCCAGCTACCCAGGAGGCTGAGGCAGGAGAATTGCCTGAACCCAGGAGGCGGAGGTTGCGGTGAGCCGAGATCGCGCCATTGCACTCCAGCCTGGGTAACAAGAGTGAAACTCCGTCTCAAAAAAAAAAAAAAAAAGAATCTGGGACGAAATGAAAATAGTTCTAAGGGATAGAAGGAAACTACAAAAAAAGGGCAAAAGGGCAGAAAAGGTAAGTGGTCACCTGATGCAGTCAGGTGCATATATTGCATATATATATATATATATATATATGCTCAATCTAAAACTGGGAAACCAACAACACCCACCAACCAGCAAGCCAACCACACACATTTCTAGTAATATATATCTTATATTGAATGCTGTTGTAATATACATATATTACTCTCTATATATACCTATATATATAATTAGTAATTACTATATATTACTAATTATAATATGTAGAGTAATATATATATTATATTGAATGCTGTCGTAATATACATATATTACTCTCTCTATATATCTATATATAATTAGTAATTACTGTATATTTTAATTAGTAATTACTATATATATTATATATAATACTATATGTATAATATATATAAAATACTATATACATAATTATATATGTAAATATATAATTAGTAATATATAGTAATTACTAATTATAATATATAGAGTAATATATATATTATATTGAGTGCTGTTGCTATTAGCAACCTATTATAATATGTACATCTATATATTACTAATTGTATATATAATCTAGTTATATATTACTCTCTATATGTATATATCATATATATACATATATATATATAGAGAGAGAGGTGGTCTTCCTCTATCACCCAGGCTGGAGTGCTGTGGTGCAATCTTGGCTCACTGCAACCTTTGCCTCCCAGGTTCAAGTGATTCTCCTATTTCAGCCTCCTGGGTAGCTGGAATTACAGGCATTGGCCACCACAGCCAGCTAGGTTTTATATTCTTAGTGGAGATGGGGGTTTCACCATGTTGGCCAGGCTGGTCTCGAACTCCTGACCTCACGTGATCTGCCTGCCTCAGCCTCCCAAAGTGCTGGGATTACAGGTGTGAGCTGCTGCACCCAGCCTCTATAATAATTTGGAATACACTAATTAATTCATAAGTCCAAATTAATATGACATATTTATATCACGCTCTTTTTGTAATAAGAATCTAGGAACAGAAGTTGGATCACCTTAGAAAAATTTAAATTGTTACTTGCCAGCAAGTTATACTACAGTGGCAGTTTAAAACACTTTTCAGCAATGCCATCTTAGAGAAATGTGTGCACCAGGCTATGTGTGAAAGAATATGCACAGCTACACTGCTCATTAAAGCCCCACACAAGAGACAACCCATATGTCCATCAACAGTAGACTGGTTAAACTGTGGTACAGTCATTAAGTAGAATGTTATATAGAAATAAAAATCAACAATTACAACTATTTGCAGTAACATGAATGACTATGTCCAATGAAAGATACAAAAACACTTCTAAATCCTTTTGACTATATACAGAATGAGCCTACTGTTTATTAAGTTTAAAAACAGGTAAAACCACACTGTTTTGTTTAGTGATGCACACGTAAGTGATATAATCATTAGCAAAAATCTAGGAGATGATGAGGTAAGATGGCTCAGGCCTGTAGTCCCAGAACTTTGGGAGGCTGAGGCAGGCAGATCACGTGAGGTCAGGAGTTCGAGACCAGCCTGGCCAACATGGTGAAACCTTGTCTCTCCTAATACAAAATTAGCCAGGATGGTGTCAGGCGTCTGTAATCCCAGCTATTCTGGAGACTGAGGCAAGAGAATCGCTTGAACCTGGGAGGCAGAGGTTGCAGTGAGCTGAGATTGCATCACTGCACTCCAGCCTGGGCAACTCTATTTCAAAAAAAAAAAAGCAAGCTAGGAAGTGGTTATAATGAAAGTCAGGAAAGTGATTGCATGTGGGGAGCATTTGTGATTTGATGGGGAACACTGTGGGCTGGGTGGGTGCTTCTAGGGTATTGGCAATATTCTATTTCTTGTCCTGGGTAGAGATTCTGTAGATTTTACTTTTTACGTATTTGTTAAACTGAAATAATAAAAAATAAAAAATTATGTTTTATTAAGATTTTCTTATGTTGTATTTCACGATAAAAATGTTTTTTAATGTGACTTTTGAAGTACCACTAATCTACTTACTTATATCAAGTCATGTTTCTAGAAACGATGTTATTTTTGGTGGCTAGGCAACACTTCTCCAACATTTCCCATCACTTTTCTGCAAGCTGGGTACCACATTTGAACATTTTTATTGTGAAAACTAGCACTTCTTTTTCTACTGCTTTATTTGCCAATTCAATAAATATTTATTCAACAACTTACAGTATTTCTCATGCTTGAGGGACTAAGATATGAAGATGAATTTAGGCGAGTTTCCGACTTCTGGATTTTATAATCCAGTCAAGTGGGCAGTAGTCATCTCTCCATGGAAAACATATAATAAAAGTGCTTCAAAAAATGCGAAGAAAGGAGGGACTACATTTTGAGGGGAGGGAAATAGGTTTACGGAGATGGCATAAGAGACGGTAGTAGAAATGGATTTTGGAGAATTGGAAAGATTATGACAAGGTAAGTGGGGAGGCAGGGCATTTTAGGTGGAGGAGATTTCATGGCAAGACTCTTTGAGTAGGAATCAAGACTTGTTCAAAAGTAAGGAGTAATCAACTGGATGGGGGAGGGCTGCATGAAGATTAATAGAGGTAAAACTGGATAGTAACTTCGGGTCCAGAGCATAAAAGACTTGACTATCACATTTAGAAGTTTGAACTTGATTCTTTAGGCAATGGGAAATGACTGAAAGTCTTTGAAAGGTCTTAGGAAAATGAACCTAACAGTTTGTGTGTTGGATGATGGAAGTAAGAAATAGACATCATGTAATTACAGTAGTTCAGGATACAGGTGACAAAAGCAATAGGGATGAAAATAAAGGTACTGTAAGTTAACCACCGTGGAGACAAAATCTGTAGAGTTTTCAGTGTTTTGGATGCTTGGGAGTAGTAGGGTTAAATGGCAAGATGAGAGTTAGGAAGAAATAAAAGATCATAGGTTTGATAAGGCTGACTGGGAGAATGTTGATGCTCTGAATAGAAATACACTTATCAGGAAGAGCTACTGTTGTGTGTGTAACGGTGGGTGAAAATATAATGCATTTAATTTTAGAAATACTAAATTTGAAAAACGTGGAATAGACAGGAAGGATATGCAGCAAACATTTGGAAATAATATTTAAATATATATATTTATATATAAATTATACATATTTTCAAAGGG